GTGATACTCCCTATATCATTTTTTGTTGCATCTATTTCATTCTTCTCTCTGTTGAAATTCTTATACATTGTGGGTGGGAATAAAAAATGGTATAGCCAGTCTGGAAAAGTGTGGCAGTTTCTTGTAAAGTTAACATGTATTTGTTGTGTAACCCAGAAACCCCACTGCCTAGAGAAATGAAAGCTTGTGCTTACATAAAAACCTGTATATAAACATTCTATTGATAATTCTATGATTATGCAATGTTCTATTCATAATCACTCTAAGCAAATGTCCTTCAACAGGTGAATGAACAGGTATAAATGGATAAAGAAGTTGTGGTATATCCATACAATGAAATACTACTCAGCAGTAGAAAAGAATGAACTATTTACACATGCAGCAACTGAGCACTTTCCAAGGCGTGATGCTGGGGAGTGGGGGAAGGAAGTAGTCTCAGAAGTTTACATACTGTGTTTCTCGTTTTTGAGCAGATAAAATACTGATGGAGGATAGATTTATGGTTGCCAGGAGTTACGAATGGGAGAGACTGTGATTATAAAGGGAAAACATGAGGGAGTTTTTGGGGGTGTGATGGCACTATTTTGAATCCTGATTGTGGCAGTGCTTATATGAATCTATACATGTGTTAAAATTATAGAACTTTACACCAAAAAAAAAAAAAATATATATTTTAGATAGGGTCTCATTCTTTGTCCAAGCTGGAGTACAGTGGCACAATCATGGCTCCCTGCAACCTTGAGCTCCTGGGCTCAGGTGGTTCTCCCACCTCAGCCTCCTGAGTAACTGGGACTACAGGCATGTGCCGCCACGCCTGGCTCATTTTTCGTATTTTGTAGAGATGGGGTTTCGCCGTGTTGCCTAAGCTGGTCTCAAACTCCTGGTCTCAAGCGATTCACCTGTCTCAGCCTCCAAAGTGCATGAGGCACTGTGCCTGGTTTGTATGGTGATTTAAATAATAAAATTAATAAAATTATAGAGGATGAACACTGGATTCTGATATGGGCCTCCAGTTCCTCCTTGCTAAGGCGAGGCTGATGATCTGTAATCTGTGCAGCCATTACCAAATGCTGACCCAGCCTTGCGCTTCTGTTCTGAGGCTTACGTATTTTGATCTGCTTTTTTGCTTTAGATCCATTCTGACTGAAAAATACTTCTTAAATTTTGCTTTTCCATCCCACAAATGACTGATTCCAACCTTTCTCCCCAGCTGCTCAGCATGGGCCTCCAGCTGTGCTCTGCACATTCTGATAGCAGAGAGCTTTATTCACCCCCCGTTTTTGAAATGTAATTTCCGTACAGTATAATGCATGGATCTGAAATACATAGTTCAATGAGCTTTGGCAAATGTATACAGTGGTGTGTTCATACATGTTTTACAACTGGCTCTCTGGTGGGATAAAAAAGCCCTGCTTTGTAGTGTTTGCCAATTTCTGGAGTATAAATATTTCCACCATGGTGGATTCCAAGCTATCAATGTGATGTTGACTGGCTTGCAAACATCCTGAAAAATGAACAGTCCACTCTCTTGATGGTGCCAACAGGCTTCAGCACCCAGATCAACATTCAGTACATGCCCATCACCCCACAAGTTCCCTAGTGCCCCTCTGCAGTCAGTCCCCACCCCTATCCTGTGCAGATAGTGATTCTGATTTCGACCACCATGAATTAGATTTTCACATTCTAGAACTTCATGCAAATACAGTATATATTTGGCCTGACTTTTTATTTTTGCCTCAGATTTGAGAGTCCCTCCTATGGTGTTTATCTGGTTGGTTGTCTTTTTCATTGCCCAGTAATATTTCATTGTATGGATGTACTGTCTTTGATTCTCCTGTTAATTGGCATTTGGGTTGTTCAAAGTTTTGGGCTTTTCTGAGTAATCTTGAAAGTACTTGAGAGGCTGTACAAAAGAGGTTCTAATATTCCTGGCAAAACTTTCTGCTGGGAAGAGGGACTAGATCCTGAAGCTTCAGATTTTACTGGCGATAATGAAAGAGCATCTTTGAAAGTGTCTAGCATGTGGCAGACATTCAATAAATGTTAGTGGAGTCTCACTTTGGCAGAATTCTGTTTCTAGGATCTGTGCCCAGAAATAGATCGTCTTTTACAGAAAGGTCAGAATCAACCAGATTCCATCTTCTCATTTGATAAATCCATTTCAGGAATATTTCACAATTCTAACAATTAGAAAAAAATGTCTATTTGATATTTTTATGTTATACTTTAAAGCCTACCTATTATACATATTATCTGATTTACGTCATACACATTTAATTTTCATTTTATGCACATTATTTTATTTAACTTTTGCTACAATGCTGCAAGGTAAATATACCTCTACTTTACAGATGAGGACAGATGAGACTCAGAAATGCTAAGTAACCTTCCTAGTTCACAAAGCTAGTGAGAATTTAATTGCAGTTGCCTGACTCCAAAATGTTCACTCCTCACTACAGGCAGGAAGCACATATTATTCGGATAATCGCTACCCATTTTCCTTTCATCCTCGTTTTTCCAGCGAGCAAAACATCTTGTACTGTCGCTTTCTTTTTTCATTTAAGAAGTACATTTTGAATAGGCTCAGGATGGCCTGATTTAAGCAAGCAGAAGGAAAAATCCTTACAGAAAAGTCTGCGTTGGCCAATCAGCAATGTGACAGAGCGTTCGGCAGATGGCGCTGTTTCCACAGGAGTGTAACGGCGGCCACAAGCGTTCTGCCGCCAGGGGGCGCCGCGTTCCGCCGGAGAAGCTTGGCAACGGGGAGCGCGGCTGCCGGACCCACGCCTCCGTCGCGGTGCGTGCTTTCCCTCCAGGTGGGACGCTGCAGGCCCAGCCGCTCCCGGTGCCTCCAAACAGCCAGAGCGCTCACGTGGATGAGCTGCTAGACCAAGCTCAGTCCAGGAGGCCAGCTTCGGCAGCTGCTGCTCAGCTATCCCAGACAGCACGGGACTGTGCAGAGCCTCCCCTAAACCTCGTTCTTTTCAAGGGCAGTGGGAAGCACAGCAGCGTTTGCCTGTTTTTGCCAAGTTAGCACCGAGGGAGTTTCATCAGGGAGAGGCAGGGGCCTCAGAACAGGGAGGCTGCAGGGCGGCCTCCGCAGAAGGTGAGTGCTGGCAGCCCGTGGCCTGAGACATTAAGCACGTTGGGGAGAAATGGAGAAAGAAGCTCCTTGAACAACTTTCACACTCCGGTGTGTGAAGCCGCTGGGCCGAGAGATGACAGCAGCCTGGTCTTCTCTCCTCCGTGAGGCTTGGGCGCTTGTCTCCCTTGCTGCTTCCTGAGTCATAGCCCCTTCCAGTCCTCCAAGGGCCCGCGTTCCACCATGGCCAGACATCCCCTTTGAGAGTCTGCAAAGCCTGTTTTCTCTTCTGGAGAATTCTAGGCAATTCAGGTCAAAGAAAGGATTTTGAATCAAGTCCTTGGCTATGTCAGATAGAAGTGCTTACAAGAGCTGAATTAATGGAATCATTCTTTAATTCCATCATCTGACTCCTGTCTACGTCCTCAATATTTTATTTTATTTTAATTTTTTTTTAGAGTCAGAGTCTCTCTCTGTCGCCCAGGCTGGAGTGCAGTGGCACAATCACTGCTCACTGCAGCCTTGACCTCCTGTGCTCAAGCAATCCTCCCACCTCAGCCTCCTGAGTGGCTGGGACCACAGATGTGCCGCCACATCCAGCTTACATCTCCAGTATTCATTCTCACTATCTGCCCCATCACCTGCTTTTACTTTTTTATACTACCTGCAGTTCCTTGCAATTTATGCTTAGTTAATATCTGCATACCCTTCAAGATTTGCCGAAGCACTGTCTCCTCTGTGATGGCCTTTGGGTTGGTCTAACTCTTCCCTCCTTGACTCCTTCATGGTTTATCCCCTTTATAGAATCAATAGCGCCTATTCCAGAAATCCGAAATTTTCACTGCACTTGATTATTATCCATCTCTGTCTTGTGAGCTGTCATCTCATTGAGTTCATATTCACCTTTGAATCTCCAGCACGCAGCCTGAGGACTGGAGCTTGCACTTCGTAGGTGTTCATTGAGTGAATGAAGGAAGGAATAAAAACACTCTTCACTTTGCATTTAGTTAAAAATCAGACAATACAGAGATTTCCATCAGAACCAAACCAAGCCAATGTCTCTTGGAACCACACTCAAAGTTGATGCCTTGGACAACTGGTGTGATGGTTTCTTCATTGTTGCTATGTATGTCTGTGAACGTGTTTGTCTTTTAAAATTACTTAACTGGAGGAAGAAGTTCACTTTTACTTCATAAGGTAAATCCTTCAAACAGTCCCTACTTTTAAAATAAGGACTTCCCCTGTCCTTGAAAGGTTCTTCTCGGGCTGCGTGTTGCAAGGTCCTTCCTTGTAAGGCAGTCGATGCTGTCTTATCCCCTCCCCGGCAGCAGAACTCGGGTAGCTTTGGGCGTGGCCATCCAGGATTGGGGCTGTAGAGGTGAGACTCAGAGACACCAAATAATCTTTGTGTTTCTCAGCATTGGAAGATTTCAAAGAAAGTGTGTGCAGGGGGCAGAAGGTGGGGTGCAGGATTGTTTAAATTTGTGGGGTTGCTTTTCTAGGGCAGTGAGAATTCTCTTGCTGGGTGGAGTTTGGTTCGTGCAGCGCGGCTGGGGGTTGTTCCCAGCAGGCAGCTCCTAAGTGCCAGCCCAGGCTCTCTGGCCTGGGGCTACTCTCCATTGGCAAATGCCACCCTCTGTCTCCCATCACCTCTCCCCTCCTTCATGGAGAGGCAGGAAGGAACTCTGGGAGGTGGGAGAGAGCAGAGGCCACAGTCAATGTCCTCTGGACATGTCGGTAACTAGAAGCAGAGCTGAGGCGCTGGGGACAGACACCTTGTCCTTATGCTGAAGAGACCCTTCTTTAACGGTCATTGCAAGTTGAGCTGGGGTAAGGATTCTAGGTCTGGTTTGTTTTTTTCTGGAAAGTGTATACTTCCTCCGTTTCTCTGGCCTGATTACTGCCCACATGTCCACAGGGGATAGCTGTTCTTCTGCTGTAGTGGGAGACGTGGAAGAGCGTGGACTCTGGAGCTGGACTCCCTGGACTCAGATCCTGGCTTTGCCTCTTAGTAGCTGTGTGACTTTGGGCCATTCAGGTAACATCTCTGTACCTAAATCATCTGTTCTTTAAGGTGGGTTCATCTCATAAGGCAACTGTGAAAATTAAGCAGATTAGCACGTGTTAAATGCTGACAACAGCACCAGCACATAACCAGTATGCAGAGTACATCAACTCTTACTGTGCCTGCCTTCGCCTTTCCCCAGCCCTCTCCCTTCAAGGTGGTCGCTGTTCATCTCAACAGGTACTCATTGGTGCCCCTGTACACAACACCATTACAGGCACTGAGGGGGATACAAGGAAGCTTAGATGTGGTTTCCATTCTCAAGAGGCTTATGATATGGGGACATGAAGACAAAAGCAAAGTAATGAAAATAAAAAAACAGGAGTGAGTGGGGAAAGGACTGAAAAACTTCTTATTGGATACTATGTTCCCTACTTGGGCGAAAGGATCCTTGGAAGCCCAAACCTCAGTATCGTGAATATACTCATGGCACAAACCCACACATGTACCTCTTGAACCTAAAATAAAAATAGAGACTGGGTGCAGTGGCTCCCACCTCTAATCCTAGCACTTTGGGAAGCAGAGGTTGGTGGATCACTTTAGGCCAGTAGTTTGAGACCAGCCTGGCCAACATGGTGAAACCCCGTCTCTACTAAAAATACGAAACTTAGGTGTGGTGGCGGGCACCTGTAATCTCAGCAGCTCAGGAGGCTGAGGCACAAGAATCACTTGAACCAGGGAGGGGCAGGTCGCAGTCAGCCAAGATCACACCATTGCACTCCAGCCTGGGTGACAGAGCAAGACTCTGTCTCAAAAATAATAATAAATATAAAAAAAAAAATAAAGATGAAGAAAGAGCAACTTTGTTAAAATATATGCCACTAATATATAAGTGTCATAGGAGTTAAAAAGAAGGAGAGAGTGGGATGTGAGTGGCTTCATGAAAGAAGTCAAACTTGATTTGGGCCCGAAAGGGGGCAGAATATGGAGAACGGATTTTATGACTTTCATCTACAACTCTCTGAATTGTTCTGGCTTCTAAATCAAGATGGCAAAAACAATTGTCACCGCTCAGCTCGGGGAAATTCTCATGATGCCAGTTTACCTGGCAGGTTATACATAGGGTTAGGCCACTGCTGCCTTTGAAACTGTAGGAAAAATGCAAAACATTCAAGGGCTGTCCCATTCCTCTGAATAAATCCCTACCCCTAAAGCAAATGGCCTGACTCCGGGGTTGAGCTTTCCCCAGGCTTCGATGTTTTTGCCTGCACTGTGGCTGTAGAGGACTGACTTCCAGCCCAGTACATTCCACTCCTCTGAGCTGCTCCTCTTTCCCTCCAGAAGTCTGCAAAGCATTAAGCACTATATTTAACTGCAGCCTAAAACAAAAATGCCTGCCTCTGAGCATCCAGACCGGAGAAAGAGGATTGTCACCTCCGAGGACACAGCGTCATTGTTCACCTTGAAGCCATGGACACACAGGCCTGGAATGTTCATCCCCTCCTGGCTCTATCTTTAGCTTTTGGGTGGGCTCAAGAAAGTGGAGGCAATTTTGATGACACTCAGTAGGTTAAGACCCCATGCATGAGAAGCTGGCTGGCTGAGCGGGGCTTTGTGGAGAGCCTTGTGTAGTTAACCATTAAGGACTCGTGAGCATCATCCGAGGAGCCTGTGGAAGTTGCAGATGGTGGGATCCATGCTCAGTGGTTCTGAGTCTGTCGGTCTGGGATGATGCCCAGGGATCTGCGTCTTTAACACGCAAGCCAGGGGATTCTGGCGACGGTGATCTTGGACCACATGTGGTGGAGAACAGTTAGCTGGAGCTATTGGCAACTTGGTCAAAGGAGGCAAAGGAAGGAAAAAAGGTGGAAGCTGAAGCAGGGGGAGTGATTTTGAATGGTTTATGAACTGAATGATGAGGACACAAATTAAGGCAAATCATTACATCATAGACTCAAGAAAGCCCGGAGCAGGGATTTACAGCCCCATTCGAAGAAGAACTCAGCCTTGGAGCCATCAACACAGGGAGACTGAGGCTGGAGACCATGAGGGGTGATGACCTGGGACCAACCCTGCTTCACCCAGAACACCTTCACTTTGATCTCTTTTTATATACATGGGTTCCATGTAGGATGTCATTTGAAAACTGGCCACTGCTAAAAGAAGTTAAAAAGAAATCATTAACCTCGAGACAATGTGTCAGTCATTGGAAATACCTTAATCTCCTTGGGTGACTGGTGGAGCGGTGTTCTATTAGGTCTAGATCGTTTTATCTGCAAGAGCAGGATGACTTTGGACAGAATGCTTGTGCATAGGCCCTTTTACTCCTTCTGTTCTTTTCTCCCTTTTAGCCAGTTCCCCTCTAATTTTTCTGTGATCTAGATCCATTTGAGAATCATATGAAAGCTTTGGACCTTTCCTGAAGAAAATGCACCTAGACACACACCTGTACACATTGGCATTCAGTTTTGGTGGGGGTTATGGGCTCTGTGAAACCCATCTGTACCCTTGGTGATCACACCCTCCTCTAAACTGTTATCTATTTATTTTATAGCAGTACCACAGTTATTCTTTGCTTCAAGTCTTTCAATTAAACCGCAAGTCTCTTGAGTGTAGAAACTGTGTCCTCTACAATGGCAGTCTAAAATGGGAAGGACAAGATGATCCGTTGCAGCATAAGAAGGGAAGTTTTAGAACTGCTTATTTTATAATCTTATCCCTTTTCAGTTTCTATTTTTCTATGTTCCTATAATGCTCCTTGTATTAGAATAGTCCTTCTCCTCCTCCTCCTTATTATTATTATTTTGAGATGGAGTCTGACTCTGTTGCCAGGCTGGAGTGCCGTGGCACCATCTCGGCTCACTGCAACCTCTGCCTCCCGGGTTCAAGCGATTCTTATGCCTCAGCCTCCCGAGTAGCTGGGATTACAGGCCTGTGCCACCATGCCCAGCTAATTTTTGTATTTTTAGTAGAGACAGGGTTTTACCATGTTGGCCAGGTTGGTCTCGATTTCATGACCACATGATCCGCTTGCCTTGGCCTCCCAAAGTGCTGGGATTACAGGCGTGAGCCACTGCACCTGGCCGAATAGTTCATATTATTTAAATAAACATACTTATTTTGAAGGTGCCATGTTAAAAACTTACCGATAAGGATAACATGATTCAGAAAGCTTGGAGTACTCTGCGTTACAGAATTTTTTTTGATACTCATGCTGAACGTTTTGCTAGGTATTGGAGATATAAAAAAATGATGTAGCTTCTACTCTCAGGGAACTTACAGTTTAGTTTTGCACATAGTAGGTGTTTGGTTTGGAATGGAGGAGCTGAGATTTGAGTCTGGCTTATTTGACTCCAAGTCGGTAACTAGATGATGAGTTAATTCTTTCAAGATGGGTCATTTATTGCACGTTCAGGAAGCCACTGCCTCTGGGAAAACCACCCCATAGAACATGCTCCCACTTGGTATGAAATGTGAAGACAGGGTCTCTGACCTTATTATCATCCTTAGGTAGACAGGCTGGTAGCAGTATTTCTGGAATTCTTACACAGAAGCTGCTCAGGAGTGGCACTCATTAGAAGGAAAAATCTTGAGACCGAGGTCGAATACACTCCCGCACAGCAACCTGCGGCAGTTACTTAGATTTTGTTGATTTGCTGTGGTCTTTGGGACATGATGAAGACTATGGGGTAGAGATGGGGTACAGTTATCTCTAGCCGTTTCTTTTTTTTTTTTTAATGAAGTCTCCCTCTGTTGCCCTGGCTGAGAGAAATGGCCCGATCTCGGCTCACTGCAACTTCCGCCTCCTGGGTTCAAGCGATTCTCCTGCCTCAGCCTCCTGAGTAGCTGGGATTACAGGCGTGCGCCACAACGGTTGGCTAGTTTTTGTATTATTAGTAGAGACAGGGTTTCACCATGTTGGCCAGGCTGGTCTTGACCTCAGGTGATCTGCCCACCCCGGCCTCCCAAAGTGCTGGGATTACAGGCATGAGCCACCCACTGCGCCTGGCCTCAAGCCACTTCTTAGAGTTGCCTCAGGATCTCATGAGAAACTGAAGGAAAATTTTGGGGAAAAGGCAACCAGCGGAAGTGGCTGGGGCAGAGGAGCTGGGATGAGAATGCAGCTGAAGGGAGAATATCGCGAGGCTGCTCAGGGCTTCCCGGCAGCCCAGGGCATCCAACCCCTAATAGCATATTTCTCAGAGCAACTGGTAGCCTGGACCCATCTCTCAACAGCTGTCGACCATTTATTAGTAAGACTCCACTGAAGCCAAGGGAATGGGGAAGGAGAGCAGACAAATGGGGAAGATAGAATTGTGTTAATGACCAGTCCATTTCCATGAAGCGAAGGTGACCAGTCTGTCATCTCCTCGCCGTGGCTGGTGTTTTGTTGGCGCTGACATTTGCAGAGAGTGCCCCCAGCTGGGCGTCTGTTGCCCCATTGCCATGGAGACAGCAGCTGCAGAGACGTCTCCTTTGAGACTGCGCCGCCCGAGATTTCAGGAACCATTTTGGAAGCATTTGTCCCGACAGTGCCTGCTAATCTCCCTTTCATTTGTAATTATTTTATCGCCTTGGTTCTCTGCCTTGGCATCGTTCCCGAAGCTAACTCTGCTCCCCGACACGGGGTCCGTGGGGAGGTGTCGGCCGCCGCAGCCCCGTCTGGGTGGAGATGAAAAGCGAGTGGAAAGGCAAGACTTGCTAGGGCGCTGCTGTCTTCAAACAGGCCCCGTCTCCTGGAGGCAGCCCTGGGAGGGCCTTGGCTGATTGAAGTAGCCCGAATTACGAAGCCTGAAGCCTTTGAGGCCAGCCGCCCCATCCAGGCCAAGAATAATTGAACAAATAGTTTATCTGGCTAACCAACAGCTGTAGAGCCCAGGCGATTTGGAGAGGATTAGGGGAGAGTAGTGAAAGAATACTCCCACAGGGTCCTCCAAATCCTCATCCTGAATCCTACCAACGAAGAACACATGTTGGAGCCCTGGAATTGCTTTTTAAGTTCATTTCTCTCCCTTTCCAAGCGACTCGGTGCA